GTCACCAGATAAACAAATTTCATCAATAATTCTGCCACCTCGTATTATTTTAAAATCAACATTGCCAGAAAGAAAAACAGAACCATTTTCAACAATTATCACCGAAGAACATAAAGCTGAAATTGCAACATGGATTGATAATAAAACTAATATTTATGATGTAACAAGTATTCCATATGATTTTAAACTACTACTCCGTGGAAGCAGAGATAGTTTTACCAAAGAATCATTTTGGAATTTGTGTGATAAAAAAGCAAATCTCGTCGTAGTTATGAAAGTTAATGACACTGATGAAATTCTTGGTGGCTATAATCCTCTCGGTTGGGATAAACCAATCAATAATCATGTATATACTAAATGTAATAAAAGCTTTGTTTTTTCATTGAAAAATGGTACTGTTAAATCCTCTATTTTAAGTCGTGTACAAAATTCACAATATTCACAATTTTCACAATATTTACAATATTCACAATATTCACAATATGCTATTTATTCTTGTTATGATAATGGTTTAAGCTTTGGTGGTGGCGATCTTCACATGTTTAATAATTTTAATCAAAAAAGTGATGGAAACAGCGGATGTTATTGTGCGAAATCTCAGTATGAAAAAGCTATTAGAATGTCAAATACCCCTTATTTTTCTGTAAGTGAATATGAAGTATTTGAAATTCATAAAAATTAATAATCAATCTTCAATTGTACAAAAATAAATAAATAAATATAATTTTTATTTTCACAATTATTACTAGAAAGACTAACAAATGGTATAAATAGTTAAATTAGCTATTTGATACTACATGTAATTGAATACGTAACCAAAAAAGATTAATCTTTGATATTCATATCTCATAAAGTCAAGCGACCCTGACTATAATACATTTTTACTTATTTTTCACAACCCAATTTCTCCTTAACAAATCTTTATTTTCCACATCCTAATTTCCTTCAAATCTTTTCATTTAATTCAAGAATGTAAAATAATTTATTACTGGTATTAAAATCAGCAAACTATAAATGATTTATTATCTATTGAATTAAAATTAGCAAAACATGAACATAATACTTTGTCACAACCCTTCATTTAGTCAGTGAGTAAATGATAATTTATTATCTAGTTGAATTAAAATCAGCAAATTATGAATACTTTTCTTATATACATTTTTGATTAAGAATAGGAAATGATTTAAAATGACACACATAACTCAAATGACAAGTTACTAGTTATTAGTCATTTCAAAGCCTAAATAACTAAGAAGATTATTTAATTTCTATTAACTAATAATTTAATGTCTATTTAGCTAATTAAAATTATAATTAACAAATATTACTACCAACAAATATCAGAATTTTACTAAGTTAATCTCTTAAGTAAAGTTGTTTGAGATAATAATTTGTATATATTCTATAAGTTTCATAAATTTAAATATTTTTTATTAAGCCATTTCTAATCCTCAAAACCTGATAGATTTAAGTAAAAAAATTTATAAAATAATAGAGAAAAAAAAGAAACTAGATAAAGCATTAGACAAATTAAAAGATCATTTAAAATGTATTATATAAATGTAAAACACAGAAGTAGCTTAATAAAAAATTATCTAAATTATATAAAACTTCTAGAATATATGCAAATTATTATCCTGAACAAATTTACTTAAAGCACAAATATCGAAAATTTTGCCTTTATATGTAGCAATATTTATTAATTATAGAAATAATCAAATAACCAGATCATTTACATATGCACATATTAAGTCATTTCTAAACAATTATTATAAAACACATTTATGGTGTTTTACCATCATAAGTAATATTTGATTTACAAATCTGCAAAAAAATAAATTTTTATAAAACAAAAAATAAATTTTGATTACTTTAGGTTAGAACAAGGCCTAGAGCTTTATCTAGGCATTATTATATGCAAAATTTAGTAGAGAATTTTTTTAATTAGAGCCACAAAGGCAGTTTTATAGATAAAATCTTGAGATATCAATGTTTTTTAAAATAAATAAATAAAAAAAGTAAATTTTATGTTACACTTAATCTTAAATTTTAATTGACTATTCTAATAGCTTCGTATAACAAAATAGGTGTAAAACACCGTAGATACAAAACACCATAGGTGCAGTTTAGTAAAAGTCATTTCTAAATTACCTATGTTATTTGGCTATAAGCTATTTGCAGATGGTCCAAATTTTGAATAACTACAATGACTAGTCATTTCGAGGTTATTTTGGGTAATTAGTCATTTAGTCAAATAACAAGATCATTTACTATCCCTGTTTTTGATTATTATAAATCACTTGAAAACACTGAATGTTCTGACATTTAATTTTCATTTACTTCTATTTACATCTGTAGATATTGATAAAATAATGTATTTTATAATAAAATATATAGTTATTCTTTTCTTGCCTATTATTTTTTTAAAGTTATTACTCTAATTTTCTTTTTAATTATTCTAAAGGGAATCACAAGATCTATCTAAGTAATATTAAGTCAAATTGTATATAAATTAAGAAATGAATTTTATCAAGGAAACATAAAGCAAAAAAGTTATAATGTTTGTGAACTTATTCAAATTTGCTTATAAAATAATCAAATATATTCGTTCAGACAACAATACAAATTAGACTTTATCAAAATGAAAAAATTTGTTATCTATTGTTATGATTTTTATAATAAGACACAATAGTTAGTAAAAATTTTTAAAAAAATTTGAAAATATACGAGATAAAATTCTATTTAACACCAAATGAAAAAGAAACGTAAAAGATAAATAAAATTTGAGATGCATACATGACGAACTGTTGACTTTATAAACGAAGGATTTGATGATAACAGAAATATCAGTTCGAATTACATAACATGATTAAGAGAAACAAGAGAAAGATTAAATATTAAATCGAAGACTGTTTTGATAATGGTGACATGAACTTATCTCAGGCTTAGAATGCTCTTATAGCATAAGATTAGAAAGCACAAAAATTGCAACATAATATAATGCACCAAAGAATAAATACACTTAGAAGGTATGTAAACCAAGAAATTCTAAAATCTTCAAGTGCGAAACTCGTAAATTGGAGATAAATTGAGATATCAATAGAGCTAATCATATACTCTTGAAATATCTGACTAATATGTATGTCCGAACGAAACCTACCCAAAACTAACTTTGAGAAATACTAATCTGAATCTCAGATATAGTTTAGGTTTCGAAAACTGAAACAGCAATTATATTTCGATACTTTGAAAAACCGAAACTTTTAGAAAAAAAAGCTCAGGTCACAAGTATAATCAGGGTCGCTTGACTTTGACTTGCGCCTTTATGAGATATGAATATCAAAGATTAATCTTTTTTGATTATGTATTCAATTGCATGGGTGGGAAACTCAGTATCGAATAGCCAATTTAATAATTTATTAGTCTTTCATTGTGAAAGATGAAAATCAAAAATATTTAATAAATTATTTATTTATTTTTCTTTTATATAATTGAAGATTGATTATTACTTTGCAATTAATTTTTATGAATTTCAAATACTTCATATTCACTTACAGAAAATTTAGGGCTATTTGACGCTCTAATCGCTTTTTCATAATTACTTTTACTGCAATAACATCCGTTTCGTCTACCATCAATTGTACCACTTTGATTGAAATTATTATACATGTGAAGGTCACGACAAGCAAAGCTTAAACCAATATCATAATGAGAATAAAGAGCATTTTGTGAATTTTGCACTCGACTTAAAATAGACGATTTAACAGTACCATTTTTCAATGAAAAAACAAAGCTTTTATCACATTTCATATAACCATTGATTGATTTATCCCAACCGAGAGGATTATAACCACCAAGAATTTCATCAGTGCCATTAACTTTCATAACTACGACG